AGGTTTAAGGTCTATTATCAGCAGCAGCGTTGTGCATGTAGGAAGTGGCAGACACATCGAAAATCATGCTCTCATGCAATTCGAGTGTGTCGTCACCGGGGTAATCAACTGGTGTCGTTGTATAATCCCTACTTTTGGACGCAGAACTGGGTTGCTCAATTTTCTAATTGGAATTTTGCTCCAATTGGAAATCCTGACACGTGGCCGCAGGTGGGATGGAATTTGATTCCGCATTGGGAGAGGATCATCTCGAAGCCTGGACCCGGTCGCGCCCAAACGAGACGCTTTAAAATGCAAATGGATCGTCGGGCGCACCGCAGAAGGGGCCGGGATCAATGCACTAGATGTGGTGATCCCGAACAATTCACTTTTTTTTTGTCGGTACTTATGATTGTCTTTTTCTATATAGTGTTTCATATATGTATGCATGCTAGGTTTTATCATTTGACGAATGAATTGATATATATGTATGCATGCTAGATTTTATCATTTGACGAATGAATTGATATTAAAGTGATATTATTTTGTGTTCAAAAATTTAAATCAAAATTTACAAAACATCTTCATAATAACTTAAAAAAAAATTAAAATTTAAATACATAAAAACGGATTTTAAAAATTCGTTTTTATAAAAAAATATATATATATATATATATATATATATATATAAACGGATTGTCGGAATCCATTTTTACATATAAAAACGGTTTTTCAAAATCTGTTTTATGTAAAACGGATTTTGGTAAATCGTTTTTTTCTGTATTAATTAAGGCTAATACATCATTAAGAAAAACAGATTATCAAAATCCGTTTTTTTATTGAAAACGGATTCTCAGAATCCATTTTTCTGGCAAAAACGGATTCTCAAAATCCGGCCATTTTACTTTTTTCCACAACGATTTTTTTATTTTTATTTTTTTCCACACATTTTTTTTTTTATTTAGATAAATAAATGATTCCCTTCCCGTGACTCTATAAAGTTTAAACTAGTGTCAATTAATAAAGTGGAAAAATTGGCACGACAGATATCTACCTGACTTTCCTGGTGTACCATTCAATTTGCACATAGTGGATGCATCACAACAGATCAAGTAGTCAACTATTTATCCTATTGTGTTAATGACTATCCACACTAGTATCTCTCTCTAATCACCCCCTTTCAGCTTCTAGAGAAAGAGTTTTCATATTTTTTTTTTAAGCTTTAATAAAGCAACAATCTTTGGCTACATGTGTTTGTATATACATATATATTCAATCAACACTCAATTCATACTCAAAATAAAACTCAATTTTAACTCAAGTTTAACTCAACCCACTATCTTCAATATTATCAATATAATTAAATAATATCAACTATCATTTTTACACATTACATAAACTTTAATTCACCATTCATCTACTTATATAATTTTAACTAACAATCACTTCATATTATCTCTTTCATACTTTATATGAAATCAATTTTACTTTTTTTATTTTAAATATTATTTTAATATAAAATTAAATTATAACTAAAACTAAACATGCCACTTCTTTTAAAATTAACCATAGTTAACAAAAAAAAAAAATAATCATTTTGAGCGGATATATTTGTATACAAACACGCCATACTTTCTTATTTCATGCAAAGTGAAATAAATGCAAATAAATAGTCTCACCCATAAATGGTCAAATACATGTAACATATTATAAAACTAGAGAGAAAATAGAGAGAATGTATATAGACTCTTAGAATGACTTCATTATAACTGAATAAGAAAATGAAACAATGGTAATAATATTATTAGAGCACACACAATGTTTTGGGTCTCTTAAAAAATTTCATATGCTATGTAAGAAATAGACTAGTCTATAAAAAAATATTTTTTCCAATGCAGTTAAAAGTGAACATGAACTAACTTATGTGACAATTAAAAAATGAGACCAAGTCCATTATTGAGTCTATTTGGACCCAAGTACAAACCTGAACAGTCAATATTTATTCCTAATTTAAATTTTCTTTTAATAGAGAAAACATATTAGATCATTTTTATTAGTTGACCAGTATTTTAGACCTAGTATTTTGTATTTTTACACCGAATAGCCGTTGGGGGTTTTTTTACTTGGGTTTGTCCATGTCATTAATGACTTAAGTCCATTAATATGCACATATATAAAATTAGACCGAATGCATTGTTGGAGCTCTTACATCGGGGGCAAAATAATTATTCACGTATATGACATATATAGATATTAATTGGAAAATGATATATTGTCAACATAGTGTACAAATAGGTTAACAACACAAATGAAAATAACTAAAAAAATAAAAATAAAAAAATATACAAGTGGATGTTTCCACTTGTGTTGTCAACATCCCCTCTATATATAATTTCAGAATGCGCTGAGCCAACGTGGCAAATTCTCATGCTTTGGAATCCTATTTGGCAAAAAATCATGCTTTGGAGTTAGGCTTGGATATGAATTAATATTTGTATTAATTGTATTTTAATATCATTTCCTATTATAACCATTGAATTGCAAATATATTTTAAAAGTTGATAACTATTGTATTTCTTATCGGTTTTACATATATAATATATCAAATTAATCATCTTTTGATGAGCTTCGATTTGACATCCATATTGTATATATAAAATAAATAAATTATATTTATCTTTATAATAATAATAAAATTATCTATTAAAATTAATTAAAAAATAAAATTATTTATCAATTAATATTTTGCTTAATATTAAATAAACATATTCTACACTTATGCATATACATATCACCATAATATTTCTATTTACTTAAGATATATATTTTTGTACTTATGTAATAGTAAATAATATCGATATTATTATGATATAAGTAAAAAAATTCAACACGGGTTGACATTTTCATATACATATTGTAAATATAAATAATTAAATTATATTTATCTTTATAATAATAATAAAATTATTTATTACAATTAATTAGAAAATAAAATTATTTATCATTTAATATTTTTCATAATATTAAATAAACATATTCTACACTTATGCCTATACATATCACCATAATATTTCTATTTACTTAAGATATATATTTTTTTGCTTATGTAATAGTAAATAATATCGTTATTATTATATGATATAAGTAAACAAATTCAAAACGGGTTGACATTTTTATTTAATGTACATGTGTTTACTTATTATGATTAAAAAAATATAATTTGACAATTTAATTAAAACCCAAAGTAGTGTTTTATATAAAATTAAATTATTTTAATTTTTAAAAAAATAAAAAAATAATATTTTTTACAAAAACTTTCTAATTCAACACCCGTGTATACACGGGTATTGCACTAGTGTACATTAAGTTGGTAATGTTGCATTTTCCTACTAATTTTGTGGTTCATAACATTTTTATTTTTAATTTTATTTTTTTATTTATTTTTTACTTTCTTGAAATATGACGAGATTCACGGCCATGGCTAGTGACACAAATCGTCTCAACTATGCAAGCTCTGAGTCTTCGTAGATCTTCTTCAACCCCTCGCATCTATCTTCTCGCTGCTTTACTACTTTTCTCGCCATCACTGCTTATATGTTCCCGTAAGCTTGAAACCAATCACCATCGACATGTCCGCCGTGTTAACGGCGGTGACTCCCCAACATACATTTGGCCGTTGCCCTTGAATTACACTCTCGGCAACCTTACTCTCACAGTAGACCCAAATCTATCACTCGTTGCCGGTGGAAATGGAGGCGGCTCCCATATCATTTCTGAAGCCTTTAACCGATACAGAAGTATCATATTCAAACACGCTAGCTTTGAGCTGCCCGGCGTTGTGATTGACTATGATCTTAACAAGCTCAGTATCATTGTTCACGCCGAAGATGAGCAGGTGACTTTGAATTTCTATAATCTGCCATTTACTTTATTTTCTCTTATTATTGTTGTTACCCCCTTTTTTCTTTTACCTTCCTTCATTTGTTTTGGTATTCTGTAGCTTCAACTTGGGGTTGATGAGAGCTACACATTGACGGTTGATGCGAGTGAAGGCCCTTCAGTAATTAACGGCATCACGATAGAGGTGGATTGAGTATTTATAATTCCAATAGCAGGATACATTATTGAATGTGTTTATCCTGTTATTTATGTGGATTCTCAAATGTTATCCTGCTTCTCTTATTTGTGGCGCTAAATTGCAGACCGTCTTATGTGTTACTCGTTTTTTACCTTGTTCCTCACATATCTTTATTTACATTTAGTCGAACTACAGTTACTTAGAGCTGGTCTGAACTAAGTCATGTTTCCATTAATAAGACTTATGGAATTGTTTCTGAGTTTTCACATGTTCTCTCATATGGCTGAAGGAGATATCATGCTCCGTTGTTACATTTTCTTAAAGAAACTGAACAATTCATCTTTGTTTCGTTCCCCATTCATATTCCTGTCTGTAAGCTTTGTTACCATGATATCTTGCAGGCAAACTCTGTCTACGGAGCTTTGCGTGGACTAGAGGTAAACTCAAACTTCGTAATTGTGTGACTATTTGTTTTCAGGAAAGTATTGCAAGATATGTGGAATTTGATGTTTGCCTGTGACTGTGCTTAGTTGCACCAGTCAACAAAGATAGCAAACAAATATAGAGAGAAGAGGGAGAATTTATCTTTTTGTGGTTTTTTCTTTCTTTCTTTCTTTTTTATTTATTTATTATCTCGTCTGCAACGTTTTGCACATTTTGATGACTCCAAAGAATAACGTCTTTAATATTTGGTGATACGCTGATGCTTGTAGTAGTTTGAATTGGGGGATGTAATTTGTTATCTTATTATTGTTATTTGGTTATGTTTTTCTGCAGACGTTAAGCCAACTATGTACTTATGATTATGGAACCAAAACTGTGAAACTGTATAATGCTCCATGGTATGTCCGGGATAAGCCGAGGTTTATTTATCGAGGGCTCTTGCTTGGTAGGTTGAATCCTTTTTGTCCGACATTCTATTCTCTTGTTATAGTACTATACTTGGTTGCGTCAAAAGCGAATTTTATAGTTGTTTTCTGCAGATACTTCGAGGCACTATTTGCCAGTAGAAGTAATCAAGCAAGTTATAGAATCTATGTCATATGCTAAACTTGTAAGTATGTTAAATTACCATATGGAGATCTTTCTACAAATTTCCTTTTTTTTCTTCTACCGATTTTTTGTTGTTGTTTGTTCTTTCTATTCATTTCTTGGATTTGAAGTATTGTGATGATTGCATCAGTAGAATGTCCTGCATTGGCACATTATAGATGAAGAATCATTTCCACTAGAAGTCCCTATGTATCCAAATTTGTGGAAGGGAGCTTACACAAAATGGGAGCGATATACCATTGACGATGCTTCTGACATTGTTCAGTAAGCTCATCTTATACTAATATTTCATAATCCTTAAGGGTGTTTAGTAGTATAAGAATTTGGTGTAGTTTAGAATATATAAATACAATGTAGCTTTTCAACTTTAAAAATTATATCCTCAAACTTTTTGGGGGAAGAGAAACGTATATTACAGTTTAAGTGTCTTAAAAGCAGAACCGTATATAACTTTAGTTGATAGGCAGGCAACATTTTCTGGTGAATCATGAAAAGATGTTGCATGCAAATTGTTCATGGTATCTATCTCACATTTCTGCACTATAATTATAGCTATTGAAGTCTAGGCAATATTTTATTATCTTTAACATGATATATAGATTTTACATGGGTTAAATATCAATAGCGTAACTCTATATATATATATATATATATATATATAACAATATCATAACTTTGCCTGTATAGTTGATGCATGATGTGAACTTCCTCTTAACCCTAAATCTACACATTGTAAACTTTTTCCTCGCAACACAATTAACTCATCTTTTATTGTTTTCAAGTTTATTTTTTTCTTTTCTTTTTTTATTTTTATTTTTGTTATGTACAGTTTTTGCAATTTAAGAAACTAATGATGTTTTTGTGCTATGTCTTTGCCATCTGGTGTTCATCAAAGTTACGCAAAAATGAGAGGTACGTTCTTCTCAGTATTGGGAAATAAAATATGATATGTTTATACATTTACGTATGTATGTATGCATATACGTATGTATGTTTACATGTATATACGATGATTGTGTTGGGGAGGTCGTACTTTTATTATACTCTAAATGCGAAATCCTTCAAAAGATTAAGTTTTTTTTTAAGTTCAAATTTCTAGTAAAACTATTATCAGTGAGCTTTTTTTTTTCGTCAGACCCTTAACAACTTTTGTTGATTCAATCATTTAATTTCAGGTATCAATGTTATGGCAGAAGTTGATGTTCCTGGGCATGCACAGTCTTGGTATACCTTATGAGATCAAGAAACTTTTTTATATTCATGTTCTGGAATTTATTTTTTTATTTATTCCCATCCTGTGAGAATTTGATGGGTTTGTTTCTGGAACCATAAGATCCAGGCTTCTTATGTGCATTGGAGAAGGATATTTTAAGTTCCAATTGCATGACCACCTTTATTATACACGCATTCTTAAGGCAGGCTTCTTTATGTGCAGGGGAGAAGGATATCCTGATCTTTGGCCATCCCCTTCCTGCCAAGAACCTCTGGACGTCTCTAAAAACTTTACGTTTGATCTAATCACTGGCATACTTTCAGGTCACTGTATATCCTTTTTAACAACCTAAACTATGTTACAGTTTACCATGTAACTTTCCTGAACTTTGTGATGCTTATATATTTGTTACCTGCATATTTTTCCTACAGCTATTTCTGATTATTAGTATTTTAAGCTTGTTGTTGCTTATATTATTTGCTGATGCTGGTGATTCACGATATAATTAGGTTTAATAGCCTTCTTTGCTTGGAAATCCCTTGCCTACTCTTTGTGACCGAATAATAGTTGTTTTGCAGACTTGAGAAAAGTTTTTCCATTTGAGCTTTTCCATTTAGGTGGAGATGAGGTTCATACAGGTAAATATCACTATTTAATTTATTAATATCTCCTTCCGTTCAGATGTTACTCATTGACCGTCATTTTTCTCTTATTTAAAGCTTTAAGGGAGATAAAGGCCAATGTGGACCAATAACATGGCTCTTTGTTTTAATTGAAGTCAAAAACTTTGAATTAGAGACTGCTCAATTCATAACAGATGATACCAAATCTCTTTCATTTTATGCTGCACCTGTCATGCTTTGAGATAGTTGCCTATCAAATTTATACAGAAACTTGCGACCCCTGCCAAAGTATATGTTATAAATTGTTTAGGACATGATTAGCCATCTTATAGTGGAGCAGAGAGGAAATGTGAACTATTGATTTCTGTATGTTCATTTACTTCAAGCATAGTTTATGAATTGATTATGTATTTGTAGAATATTATAAGGCCTCTAGGTGTATGTAACTGTATTTGTTGGAGCAGAATCCCACTTATACTCTGTATGTTATCTGCCTTTCAATCTATCTAAATTCAGGAGAGTATTTGCAGTCTGTCTTATACAATATGAAAAGCAGGTTTTTGGAGGATTAAAAAATAGCCTGTTCAAGATGTTCATGGATAGAATAGGATAAGTTTAGTGTGGGATTATAGGTTAATTGAAGGACTTTGGACACATTTGCAATGAGATTTTGAATTTAGCACTTTGATACATGTGTCTTGTTTTCTTTAGGTCTATATTATAAAAAATATATGGAACTGAAATATAACTGCCTCTGAATTTTGTAGTTCACATTTGTCTCTTTATAGCTACGGCCTAATGATTTACCTCTCATTCTGCCTGTTTCATATTATACTCAGATTGTTGGAACTCAACTCCTCATGTAAAGCAATGGTAAATTCCTTACCCTTCTTTGTGTACAATCTTTCTTTGATGTGTTACTATATGCATTGAAAAACTAGTGTAAGCGTAATGAAGAGTGCATCATAATATTGTCATTTGCCTTGGATTTTGACATTAGATATACCGAAAGAATATCAGACTTGTTGCTCTCATGATACTGACTTGAGAATGTCGAAGGATGTATTTTTATTATGTACTTTGAAAGGCACTGACTTTTCTATGGAACTGCAAAGCTGAATTTTTTAGCTTTGTTGGAACTTGATCGGCACAATCTCTTTAAAGTGTGACTTCCTTTCTTATACCTCACCTCCATATATCAACCATATCTGGACTATAAAGAACAAATCAGTTTGGAGGTTTTGGATTTGAAATGGTTGCTGCAGTTTTCTTCGAAATGCCTGCTATAGTATATTTCTCATCATTCCAAGATTATCATATATTCGTCTTGGTGGTACTTGTTAGTTAATTAACGGGATCTGAAGTCTTTGATGGTTTAGTGCCTAGGGGAAATGAATCTTGAAACTTGCAGTCTTGTTTGACTACAGTTTTTTCACATGTGGTCTTTGTATAGTTACTTTAGAAGAGCATGTTATTATTTTACAATGTAGTGTATCAAGCATGTTCTTTTACCAAATTTGTGTAATTATTACCATCCTTCTTATGGTCTTTGTATTGTTACTTTAGAAGAGCATGTTATTATTTTACAATGTAGTGTATCAAGCATGTTCTTTTACCAAATTTGTGTAATTATTACCATCCTTCTTATGGACAAAATTGGTATGCAGGCTTGAAGATCGTAATATGACGGCTAAGGATGCATATAAGTATTTCGTGCTCAGAGCTCAGGATATAGCAGTATCATTAAATTGGACTCCTGTTAACTGGTAAGAGAATTGCTTATAGTTTCCCAAGCCGTAAAATGGAGTTGTTTTCTACTTGAATTTAGGAAAATGAAGTCCTTGCTAACTGTCCCGCTCTAATGGTTTTTTCTCATTTTAAAACATAAATTTGTGTTTTTTTAATTCAAAATTCAAGTTAATGAGGAATCCGCTTGTTGACTTCAAAGTGAGTGTAAGATTATTCCTTTTTTTTTTTTTCAGGGAAGAAACTTTCAACACTTTCGCGACAAGTCTCAACAGAAAAACTGTTGTGCACAACTGGTGAGTCTAGTTAAATGTGGACAATATCAAATCGTGTCAGATATGACAATTCTGATAAGTTGAAATCTGCACACATGATTAAAATAGGTTGGAATCTGGTGTTTGCCCGAGGGCTGTAGCCAAAGGTTTCAGATGCATTTTCAGCAACCAAGGCGTATGGTATCTTGACCACTTAGATGTGCCTTGGGATAAAGTGTATTATGCTGAGCCGTTAGAAGGGATAACCGGTGCTTTACAGCAAAAACTTGTTCTTGGAGGAGAGGTTTGCATGTGGGGTGAAACAGCTGATGCTTCAAATGTTCAGCAAACAATTTGGCCTCGAGCAGCAGCAGCTGCAGGTATGTTTTATTACTTACTCTATTGATAGTTGGCTTTCAAGACCTTGCTGCAGTTTCTCATATATGAAGAACTTGAAAACCTTGTATTCCTCTTAAAAATTTTAAAATTCTCAATTTTGACTGTCTAAATGATTGAAATTAAAATGATTGAAATTGCTAACCAAAATCCATCCCAAATATATAATTTAGAATTTTGACATCAAAATGATTGAAATTGCAGCAAAATTTTAAATTACAAGACTTAAAATGCTACATCACTCTTGAGGGACTTGAATTGTTACCTTCCTAATAGGACCAATATTGCAATTTAGGTTATATTGTTCTCAAGTAATGTCGACCTATAAATGATGATCCTCGATAGCTGCAATGATTTTCTAGTACTATGTGGTTGATACACCTTTAGTACAATCTTGTTGGATGTGAAATTACATGTAAGAATAAGAGTGGTTAAACCATATTATTTTTTATTATTATTGTTATTGGGATCCTTGTAGAGCGCTTATGGAGCAACAAGGAGTCATTATCTTCACAAAACTCGAGTGTTTTGGCACGACTGGAGCATTTCCGGTGTCTGCTGACTAGACGTGGTGTACCTGCCGCCCCTGTCACTAATTTTTATGCCCGAAGTTCGCCAAAGGGTCCAGGATCCTGCTATACTCAGTGAACTCCAGCTGCTATTGCTAAAACATTTGCGCGTCTGCTACCTGCTGTTGTGTGTTGTTTATTGGTTTCCTATTCCTAAAAAATAATTCAAATCACGCCGTGTGCTTTCTTATTTCCTGTGTGTTGTTTGTATCACCCGCGCACAAACGCGCGGTCCGGCGTCAAAAACAATGTGTGGATGAATTATAATTTAATAAATAAAAAGTATTTTTAAAACATATGTATAGAGATAATAAAAAGTAAGATAAATATTTATTTATTATGTTTTAAAATGTTTTCCTAAATATAACATTAGTGTGGATGAATTGTCTTTATTATCATCATAAATTATAACCATCAGATAATAGGGATCTCTGACTCTAGAAACAACCGTATATAACTGATTGTGACTCCAAAATATCATGGTGTTTTTATAAAACTTCAAATTGATAAATTTAACTTTAAAGAAAAATATTTGTGATATTCGATGAAAATTCGTATCTGTCACATTAATGACATTCATTGAAATTTTTTCCTAAAAATGTTTTATCATAATTTTTATCATTTTGAAATAACTCAATATATTATTATTATATACATAAATTGATATATAATCATTGAAATAAATATGTACAAGTATGAGCCTATCAATAGTAAAATGGTGAAAAAAAACATGCTTTTGGGGGAGAGATCGAACCGGTGGCCTTCGAAAGTTGGAAACTTAGAGCATCTCCAATGTGTGATGTTGACTTAATAAGATGTTAGCCACATCATCAAGTTATAAAGTGATTACAAAAATTACTCTCCAATCCATAATGTTATGGACTCTTTTATGCTGACATGGAGACATTAAATATCCAAAGTGTGAAGCCCACTTTCTAGTTTTCCAAAGAGTGTTTGAAAGCCAATTCATAAAAAATCTAACATATTTTAATCTTTTGAAAGGAATGCATTGGAGATGTGCATTCCAAATTAAAGTCTTCTCTTTTGACATTCATATTACATGGATTTACATTCCATTCATCATTTGACATGTGTTCAAATTTAATTAATGTTCAAAGTGGAGCATTGGAGATGCTATGAGACGGAACAGCCTTTGTACTGTTCACGAAAAGGAGATGACTGCTTTAGTACATTGCTTGTGGTTTTGGAAACATTATCTATTGGGTGGGAAGTTTTAAATCCAGACAGATCATTTCGCAATGAGCTACTTAATGAAAAACTGTTAGATCTCGGGTGTCAAAATACACGGGAATCCTACGAATTGATATGTATTTTCAGTTCTTACAAATAATCTAAAATTAAAAAATTACACTTGAACTGAAAATTAAATTACAAATGAAAAATAAATTAAAACTTAAAAAAAAAATGGAAAGATTAAAGCCAAGGCGAGTAAAACTCTTTCCGCAAGAAGAATATGCCGCGTGTGTTGCTAACGGTTCAGGTGTAACTTCCTCAAAGATACAACGACAAACGTCTCTAAATCTGTAGCACACCAGATTTACGAGCTCCGGCGAACTGGAACGGAGTCGAGTATTGAGCACTTCAAAATAGGAATGAAAATATCACTCTGATAATTTTTTTTCTCTATTTTTTATCCCTCAAATATTCTTTCGGACTGAATATTTCTCTCTCTCTCTATCCTTTCTTTCTCCCTTTCTTTCTTCTCTTTTTTCTCTCATTTTCTTGTGTCCTTTTTCCTTCTGTCGAGCCCCTTTATACTGAAAACAGAGGCCTAACAAGTTGGCCAGTTGCTAACAAATTGCAATTAATTTTTTTTTTAATTAAATGAGGAAGTGGGGCGGTAGATCTTGGATCTCTAACCCAATTTTTTTTTATTAGAGAAAATGGGGCGGTAGATCCGCCCCTAATTTACACTTTCACACACAATCCCCCACAAAAGTGTAAATTAAATATATACTATCGTGCTCAATCCTCACAAAACTCTATTGCATCAGAGAAGGTAGCTTTTGGCTTTGAACCTTTCATAGTAAACATCATCGGATGCACTGGCGGCCTAGTGGACATAATGCCTTGAACTATTCCTCCATAGTGTACACCAAGACAATGACATTCACACAATAGAGTCTTAACTCTATACGGTTCTATCGTTGTGTCCGTTTTGGCCATGGTCATCACTTTGGATTCATAAGTGTTTACATTTGAAGCGGCCCACACTTCACACTTATATAGGTGACCTCCCTATCAAGAGTATCTTGTATTACTCCACCTTTACAAGGTTAGGGATTCATTAAAAGTCCACTTGACATACCCTAACCACAATCAACAGGTCATCTTGCACTTGGAGTGCTCTAGGGAATAGCTTTGAACATTCATATGTTCCAAGTGCTCAACTGAATTTTCATAGCTTAGTTTTCCCTTTGAACTAAGTTCGTGAGATCTCCACTTAGCATGGTAGGGTTATCACTATGATCATTCTTTACATTGTGGATTTTTAAGCCCATTCCCTCTAGCAAAACTACCAATTGATCTCTATTCAATCCTTTCGTCAAAGGATCAGCCAAATTTTCCTTAGACTTCACATAGTCAATGGAAATAATACCATTTGTAATCAATTGCCGTACGGTATTACGTCTACGACAAATATGTCTAGACTTACCATTATACAAGTTGCTTTGTGCCCTACCTATAGCAGCTTGGCTATCACAGTGAATCATCACAGGCGGCAAAGTCTTATCCCAACATGGAATATCGGATAAAAAATTTCTAAGCCACTCGGCTTCTTCACAAGCTTTATCTAAAGCGATGAACTCCGATTCCATCGTTGAACGAGCTATACACGTTTGTTTTGTGGATTTCCACGAAACTGCACCTTCTCCAATACAGAATACATATCCGCTAGTGGAGCGAGAATCTCTCGATTCTTATAACCAGCTTGCATCACAGTACCCTTCAAGTACGGCTGGGTATCTCGAGTATTTCAGCCCGTATTCAAGGGTGTACCTCAAGTACTTAAGTACCCTTCTCAAAGCATTTCAGTGCTCATGACTGGGATTGCTCGTAAATCTGCTCAACTTATTCACCGGATAGGCCAAGTCTGGTCGTGTACAATTCGTCAAGTACATCAGACTCCCTATTATTCATGAATATTTCAACTGAGCCACTGGTTGACCTTTATTAGCCACCAGATTTATACTAAGATCAAGGGGCGCCTTACACCTAGACTGTGCACCGTCATAGGTATCAAATTTCTTGAGCACTTTCTCTACATAATGAGATTGTGACAAGACAATTTTATCTTGAGTTCTGATAATCCTTATTCCAAGAATAACATCAGCCAAACCCATATCTTTCATGTCGAAATTTCTTTTCAACCTTCTTTTTGTATCCATGATCACTTCATGGCTACTCCCCATGATCAACATATCGTCTACATATAAACATACAATCACAAATATATTTGATGTACTCTTGACATAAACACATTTGTCATATTTGTTGATTTTGAAATCATTTGACAACATCGCATCATCAAATTTCAAATGCCATTGTTTCGGAGCTTGTTTAAGTCCGTACAAGGATTTGATCAATCTACACACATTTCTCTCATGTCCAGGTGCAACAAACCCTTCAGGTTGTTCCATGTATATTTCTTTTTCCAATTCACCATTCAAAAATGCCGTCTTGACATCCATTTGGTGAATCTCGAGATTGTGCAAAGCAGCAATCGAGAGAAGCACTCTTATCGACGCTAAACGCTTAACTGGTGAATAGGTATCAAAGAAATTATACCCTTTCTTTTTTTTTAAAGCCTTTGACCACCAATCTTGCTTTAAACTTATCAATCGATCCATCAGCTTTATATTTCTTCTTTAGGATTCACTTGCATCCTAAAGGTTTATAACCATCAGAGATCAACCAACTCCCAAGTATGATTTTGTATAATGGACTCGATTTCGCTATTTACAGCTTCTTCCCAGAGTGGTCCATCTGGGCTGGACAGAGCTTCCTTAAGGGAACTCGGTCCATCGTCCAACATGTACGTAATAAAATCAGGTCCAAACATTTTTGCCGTTTTTACCCTTTTACTACGTCTATGTTCTTCATCAGTACCCTCTGGTATCGAACCATTAGCAGTTTCATATGTTCGTTTATTAGAACTAGCATTCCTCGACTCAATCGTGGTACCAACAGATACCTCTGGATTTTCTGATTTATGAACCAGAAAGCTATATGTTGTACTATTGTACGCATATCCAATAAACACACAATCGACCGTCTTTGGTCCGATTCTCATTTGTTTGGGTTCAGGAAATGAAATCTTAGCCAAACACCCCCACACTTTCAGGTATTTATAAGACAGCTTACGATTTTTCCACATTTCGTAAGGAGTCTCATTTTTCCCTTTAGGTGGTATTTTATTGAGAATATGATTTGCTGTTAAATCAGCTTCCCCCCACATGTTTTGGGGTAATCCTGAATTTATCAAAATGTCATTCATCATTTCTTTTAACGTACGGTTCTTGCGTTCAGCAACATCGTTCGACTGTGGAGAATAAGGGGCCGTCGTTTGATGAATTATGTCATATTCAGAACATATTTGTTCAAACGGAGATACATACTCCCCCACCCCTATCACTTCGGATTATTTTAATCCTTCTGCCGATTTGATTTTCAACTTCAGTCTTATAGATTTTAAATGCTTCCACAGTCTCGTCTTTGCTTCTTAATAAATATAAGTAGCAAAACCTTGTGCAATCATCGATAAAAGTAATAAAATACTTTTTACCCGTTCTTGTTTGCACACTTTTCATATCACATGCATCAGTATGGATTAAGCCTAATGGTTCAGTACTTCTTTCCACCGAGTGAAAAGGCAACTTAGCCATTTTTGCTTCAATACAAATCTCACATTTCTTATGTGATTCAATTTTAGAATTAGGAATTAATTCTAAATTCATCAACCGTTTAATTGCATTTAGATTTACATGTCCCAATAATATGCCATAAATCAGAGTACTCAACGGTATAAACAGAAATAGGCTTTTCATTATCATTTAACACGGTTACACGGCTCACGGCCATTACATTCATTTTGAACATACCCTTGTCGAGATAGCCACGACCAAGAAAAGTTCCAAACTTGCTAAGAACAAATTTTCTTAGTATCAAATACCAGCCTAAATCTATGCTCAACAAGAAGAGATCCGGAGACCAAATTCTTGCGGATGTTTGGGACATGCAGAACATCATTAAGCTTCAACTCCTTACAAAAGTCAGCTTCAGCACCACAGTGCCCACTCCAGCCACATCAACCGTGGCTGAGTTTGCCATGTAAAGTTTCCGACTCTTAG